CAAACTTCCCACACCCTTTTTGGATCAGGCCCTATAACCCCCCAGGAACCTACTACATAGGGCCCTAAAGGGGCTCTAGTACTCTACCTATAGTCTCCATTGTAGTTCCTTTTGGGGGATACCTTACAAAATCCTTAATATATAATTGGTTAAACCCAAAAAAAGGAACTACAATGGAGACTACAGGTATTAGAGCCCTAAGCCCTAAACCCTAAACCCTGAACCCTGAACCCTAAACTAAACCCTAAACCCTAAACCCTAAACCCTAAAGAGTAATTGTAGTATGACCACAGAGCCACCTCATGCATTCCTTGAGAGGCTGACAGAAGCGTGCGGCCGCCATGAGAGCAGTGGCTTGCTCTGGAGGCAGTGTTCACCCGTTTAGGGTTTAGGATTCAGGGTTTAGGGTTTAAGGTTTAGGGCTTAGGGATTAGGATTTAGGGTTTACGGTTCAGGGCCCTTCGGAGCATGCCAGTTTTACTTGCAAGTCCGTGAACAAAAGTGTGGAGCACTCCTGTGTATTTACACCTGCTAAAGCACAGGGCAACTTAAGCAAGCGTAAGAACCGCGTGAAATCCCGTGAATACTTGTCGTCTTATCGTGATGTCCTTTGTGAGGTCCTGCAAGATCTCTTGCGACCTTCCTGAACAATCACAACTATGACTTCACGACTCTAGAGATGTGCAGATGAAACGGTCGCATGTGCTGACATGACGGATGGTTGCGCCGAAGAAGCCTTCAGCCTTTCCTATCGACCCATGGCGGCCCCATGCTCACTCAAACGAAAGCACCGCATGTTTCGAGTGTATCCATACGAACAAGCCCAGAAGCCCAAAACAATTCAAGACTACCCTTCAAATCTTTAGAAACCCCGACAAGCTTTAAATCCAAAAGTACTTTGGGGCGTTAAATGTGCAGCTCATGAACGCGATCCAGCATCACGATAACTTATACTTTGAGGATATGCAATCTGCCAAAAGGCTGCATGAACCAGAGTTCTTCTTCCTTTACCGGTACCATCAGACAAGCCCGCGACTATACATTCACCCATATTCCCACGGAGGCCTGTACACGCCCACCAGAATCCGTAGTGCCGTAGTACAAACCCTACTTCATACAGTCCTGACCCAAAACTCCACGGCCCGGACCGTGCGTTGTGGCAATTTTCTGACTCAGCCACCAGAATCGCAGGAACACTAAAGGCGCTTTCTGAAATGTCGGGTTTAGGGTTTGTCTGAATATGCATGAACTTAACCACCCCTACCTTTAACCCGAAGCCCTACACTACTCTCAAGGTGGATTTAAGCCTCCCCGCCCTAAACCCTACACTACTCCGAAGGTGAGTTAAACCACCCTTGCCCGAAACCCTAAACCCTACACGACTCTGAAGGGGAGTTAAGCCATCCTGATGCTAAGCCGTAAACCCTAGACCCCAAACCCCGAACATCAAGCTTACACGACTCTGAAGGTGAATTGAGCCACGCTTCCGTCTGAGCACTTTGGGAGAGGAGCCGTTGCACTATCCAAATCGGGTCCTCGAGGGCCCCATACTATACCATCTCCATGCAGATTTTGTGGTTTAGGGCTTAGGGTTTAGGACGACGATTCAAAAGAAAAACCAACTGCTTCGTATTGCTATGTAGGGTTTTTGAAATGCTAAAGATGTAGCGCCTGCAGGATACGCCCCATTAATTGAAAACTCAAATCGGTAAGGCCTTCCTTGGTTTGCCATATATATGAAGTAATCAGGCTTATATATTGGCCGTCCTAAGAGAGCTCGACTAATGTAGAGGCCTTAATAATTAGAATAGGGATTTGGGGGTTCCTTATTATATTTATAGTAGAATATACCCCAAACCCTATTCTACCCATTGATGCCCCTATAGTATACTTGGTAGTTGAGGGGTTCTAGAAGCGACCTCAGGCTCAGTTTCGCGAAAGCCCCCTCAGAAACGTCCCAGGAAGTCTCGGTCCCGCCAGTGCCTGGGTAGCTCAGCTTGCGTCAGCCTGGCCAGGGCAGCAAATAAAAACTGGGCTAGTATGTGTCTGTATATAATGGTTACACATGAGATCCAGGCTTCTACATTGGGATGTTGATCGATGGCTGAATATAGAAGCCTGAGTGACTACTACTGTACAATTACTCGCCAAACCCTGCCTAGCTATTGAAGCGCCTACTTGGAGGGCCGGTGGACTTAGTAAGTAGTTATTTTATAGAGTTATAAGTAAAAAGCATCATAACCCCAATTAGGATCCCTATCAGGGTACTGAAAATTCTACTAAATACCCACTTACTAAGACCCCCGGCCCTCCAAGTACAGTATACGGGCTCCAAAGGCATCCTCAGACGCTAAGATAGTGCAGGAAGTACTTGGAGGTTCATGGGCAGTTATGAGTGGGGTTATGGGGTTCCTTTAAGGGCTCCTCTCAAGGGTTCTATAGGGTTTAGGGTTTAGGGGTAGTTATAAGTGGGGTTGTAAGTCCCCTAACATGGGTTATAACTCTAGTTAGCCTACTTATAACTCCACTTATAACTACCCATGAACCTCCAAGTAAACCTGCAACCCTGAACCCTGCAAGCCCTCAAAGCATCTGAAGCCCGAATACCCTCTACAACCTAAACTCCTGAAGCAGTTTCTCGAACTGCCCGCCTTGCGCTCTGCCGCCACCTCGCCGGCCAACGACAGAACGCCCGCAAGTTCTCTCTGAAATTGGCGGAGCTCCTCTTGTTTCTGTAAGGGACTAAAGGAGGGACCCTGAAAGGGACCCTGGGGGTTAGATAGGGGATTGATTAATGAGACTATATAAGGGGTATATAAGGGTTATATAGGTATTTGGATTAGGGGTCCCTTCTAGGGGTCCCTACTATTGTCCCTTGTTTCAGAGGATGGTAGGGTTCGGAGGACCCAGTGGTTGCAGCTTCGGTTTTAGGGTACATTCCAAGTAAAAAACGACCATCTAATCAACATAGATTTATAAGATGGATAATGCTATATTATACTGTATATAACCATATGGAAGGGCTGTAAGGAAAAACTACTTGTGTTCACTCCGACCTTAATATTACACCCTAACTTCCAAGCCCTAAAACGATGATCATGAGGTCTTGCTAAGTATGTCTTTCTCAGATCTCAATCTCGAGCCTCTCATTTTCGGGCTTGGGGTTAGGGTTTAGGGCTCAGCCTAAGCCCTAAGCCCTAAACCCTAAACCCTAAGCCCTAAACCCTAAACCCTAAACCCTTAACCCTTAGGGTTTAGGAACACAGTTGTTAGTTGACAGCGGTGGAGGTCTCATCTTTCCCTGCTTCCCTGGTGCCGGTACGGCAAGAGCCTACCCCGAAGGCGAGCATCCCCCGAAAAACGGTACACCTCCCTGCATGTTCGGGTTTCAGGATTTAGGGTATTTAGGGCTTAGGGTTTAGGGTTTAGGGTTTTAGGGTGTAGGGTTTTAGGGTTTAGGGTTTAGGGTTTGGGGTTTGGGGTTTGGGGTTTGGGGCCAGCAACTGTGTTGTTAATGAACCCTAAACCCTAAGCCCTTTGTTGCGGTTCATTCGCCTCCAGGTAGGCGCTAAGACACACGCGCGAGAGGGTCCTCGTTCATCTCGGATTCCCAGGATTTGGCTCGACGCTCCATTTTCGACAGCCTTTCAAATAGGGCTTCGGTGTCCAGGGTTTAGGGTTTAGGGTTTAGGCTACCCTACACCCTAACTCTTAACAATCTTGACTGCGACTTTTCCAGCTGTCGCGGTATTGGTGGGGAAGGCAGTCATATGATGTCACGAGCTAAGGAGTTGCGCGTCTAGCGTTTAGAGTCCAGGGGCTTTGAGCTCGGGCTGAACTAGGGTCTACCTATAGTCTCCATTGTAGTTCCTTTTTTTGGTTAACCAAATTTATAGTCAGGATCCTATAATATAAATTTGGTTAACCAAGAAAAGGAACTACAATGGAGACTATAGGTAGGGGTTAGGGAGTGCTAATGCACCCTTTGCTCTTTATGTTCAGCCCTAGGAAGCCCACCTCAAAGCAAAAAGCGCATGGGAGGTTCCACTCAGGCAGCTAGGTTTCTTTGGCGGTTAGGGCCTGGGGGTTTGGGGTGTTGTGAGGTCTTGACAAGGTTTCTCTTTTGGGATGTCTTCCATCTTCGAAGACTTACCCTAACTCTAAGTCCTAGACTTAGAGGTTTAGGGTGTACGGTCCGAAACCCTAAACCCTCAACCCTAAACGGGGACTTACTCTCACCCTAAATCACAGACTTAGAGGTTTAGGGTTTAGGGTTGCGCCTCTCCAGCCACAGCTGCGTAGATCCATTTGCAGACGCTGCAGGGTCGGCTGCCATAGCTGCCAAGAAACCCCCAAGGTCAAGACATAAATCCACAGGGGGTAAGATAGGGGCCTTAATGGTTTGAATAGGGTTTGGGTATATTATACGATAATTACAATAGGGAGCCCCCAAAACCCTATGCTAATTATTAAGGCACCTACATTTGGTTCTAGAACCAAAGCAAACAGCAAACCTCTCAGAGCTCTAACACTCAAAGCAGACTTCTATGCATTAAGTATAGGGTTTAGTGTTTAAGGTTTAGGGCCCGCATACCATGATCATGGTTTGAGGCTAGTCATTTTAGATGAAGTAGGCAGCTCAGCCATTAGAGGAACCCCTTGCAGGACAGTGTAGGATACTTCTCGGAATTCG